GAAAGGCTTATATAAAAATACATATTCATGACCACGCAACCACCCCACCTGAAAGGCGAGCCTCACGCTAATGAAATTAATGTATGAACGTGTGTGAACGTGTATCTAATATAGGAATGGACATGTCGGTGACAGTGTGTCGGGAGGGTAGCTTCCTGTAACAAGGTGACGTGTTGTAAGTAATTATACTGATAATGCAGTAGCTGTATATTGAAATAGTTCCAACACTTGCACGGTAATGGCTGTGTCGTTTCAAAAACAACATTTTGAATATTTATAGACAAATAAAAATATTTAGTAAGCTTTTATTGTGTTTTTATGAACTTACTTTTAATCATACATAGTTTGTTTTAATAGCTTTTATAGAATATGGTATTGGACTGGAGTATCAGCTGGAGCTTAATACTACTGCTGCATTTATTAGTATTTATTAGTTTTTTTATTTATTGGAACCACTCTTCAGCTCGGTTGACTCTCTAACCGCTTAACATTAGTCATAGTTTTTGTACAGAAATATGTGTCATACATTGTACATGTATCATTTAAAACACTCAAAGCTATAACATAATAAGCACGTACTTAGCGACTCAATCATCGATCCGATACATTATTAAAGTAGGTATTATATGGAGGCCTACATGAATACGTAATCATAATTTATAACTAAGCTTGAACTGTCGATTCAAACAACACGTAGTCTGTAACAGTATCTATTTTAAAACGTGACGAAATTTGTTTGTACATATTTGCAAGAAAATTTAGAGCACTTACAATTATCAGATCTCTAAGAGACAGAAAGCTAAAAATTACTAATGAATCGTTATAAATTTCAAAGATATACAAAAAAGTTACAGCAAAAAGGTACAAGAGGCTTCAGGCGTCCAGTATATGTGTTGACTTGTCATAAGTAATACAGAATGTCTATAATTGTATACATTTTCTGAATTGGCCGATTTAAGTTATACTGACCCAAAACGTAGAACTAAACAGATGAATCTTGATGTATAAGGGTCCAAAGTAACTCTTCCGTATGACTTTTTAACTTTAACGTAACCCTTGTTTTGCTTATACATTCTTACAATAAATAAATGTTTTTGGATAAGATAATCTTTAACGGAATACTTGATGTCGTGAATTGACCTCTAGTATAACTTTGTCTAAATATCAAGCCAATTCCATTTAATATTCATAAAAACCAATATTGTGACCAACTGCATGCAGATTTAAAAGTACTGCAGATTTAAAAGTATTGAATGTATCTTTAAAAGGAAAATACTCTTACAAGCCTTCTAAATAGTCTTCAGTGTTGTATTAATAATAATATATATTAAACCTCATATTAGTATATTTTTGTGTGCTTTTTCTTAATTTATGTATGAGGCAATTGAAAATAATAAAGGACAAGTTTTTTCTTTAGCAAGTATTTTACTTTTCCATATAAATATCATTTCATGTCCCCTGTATTTTAAAATCCTTTGGGAAAAGTCACGATAGGATTTCGGAGACACCCGACTGGTTTTGTGGTTAACAACAACGGCAGAACGCTTATTGAAAAGGGCCCCCCTTTTCAATAAGCGTTCTGCCGTTATGGTATTAGTTGTGATGTGATGTTATAAGATATTTTAAAATAATAATTATAACTTTACACATCTCATACACAGCCGTCTGATCCCAAACTAGGCAGAGCCTGTGCTATGGTAACTAGATTCTTTACCGAAATTCTTTACGACTGGGGATCCATAGACCCCTCACGTCATTTTCATTATTTATTGTGTATGTAATAAATATATTTTATCATAATTCTTTTATAGTAACTCTATTAACTTGATATTTTATACTTTAAATTATAAAATCTGTATAGCAAACGTCTACCAAAAAGCGAAAGTAACTTCGTTCCGACCGGGGGTCCATAGACCCCTTACACGGTTTTTTCTGTCAGGTATGGCTATAGTATACTTTTAAATCTGATAATATTACAGACGTCAATCAAGAGCTTTGTTACGTGTCGAGGCAATTTGCAACCTGGTGGACTGAAAGGACCGGCCATTTCCATTGCATGCAGGAAATTGTCTAACAACAAGCAATCTCTTTAGAAGCTAGTGAAGCAACGCGATTGGTCTATTTACTCTTTGTAACTTTAGTAACTTTTTACTAAAGTAAAGATTAATTATTCTAATGTTTATAGTTAGCTTAACGTTTAGTTCCTTTTGAATTTTCTTCAATGAGAAAGTAACGTGGGTCACGCGTTAATATTTATTCTTAATAAGTGCTTTGGCTCTAAGCACAAAATTTTAGACAATAAATTTGAAATTTTGCTATGGCTATTATTTTTGTTCAACTTCCTATATTATTACTACTACACACACTACTCAAGAGGGTTTGTGTCAGACAGTCGGTCAGTAATAAAAGAAACAACCCCTTCACAATACTACGAATTGCGCCTACTCTGAATTAAATTAGGAGAAACGTTTTTACAATTTGTCTTGATAGAGAACAATTGAGCTGATGAACTGATGGATCACCATCTGATGGAATTGCAGATACGTTACACAGAAAGTTAAGGGAGTACATTAACTTTCCATCTTCCGGTTCATTTATCAGACTGATCTGATGAGACCGTGATGATCTGATGAGGACCGGAATAGATAAATTAATTCTCGTGTTACTATTATTTGGCATACTACTCGTAAAACTGAAACAGTTATAATAATAATAATAAAAAGAGAAATTAATATAGATTTTCAAGATTTGTTTACTTATTTTTTAATTTTGTAAGTTTCACAAAAGCGTGTTACCAATTGTTTTATTATTTGCAATCACACGAATGATTTTACGTAATTTTGTGCGTACGTATCTTGAAAAAGCTGTAAATCGAAGACAATAATTAAACTAATCCTCCGGCTGATCTTATAGCCTTGTAGTAGCCGGTAGCCTAGTAGTAGCCCGGAAAGTTTAACTACTTTAATACAGCCGAGTTAACGAATAAATGTTTTATCACTCGACGACGGCGACCGTTCATACACTGTTTGTATATCATTAGTGCCAGTATCGACTTTTGGTGTCCTCAATATCTTCTATGGCTGTACAGTCCATGTATTAAAAAAAGTCTTTAGATATTTAAAACAATAACGTAATAGCAACGGATACAGAGTTATATGTCTGTCAGCTGCTACGTTCAATTTAATAATACGACATGAAATATCGAGGTACTAGAAATATTTATAGGTCGTTTTTTAGTTTTTTTTTATAGGTCGTGGGTTCAATTCCCGCTCAAGTCAAACATTTGTGTGCACGAACATTTGATGTTTGATTTGGTCTGGGTGTTTCTATGTATAATATGTATGTATTTACAAAAAAAAAGTAGATATGTATTTATATCAGTTGTCTAGTACCCATAGTACAAGCTCTGCTTAGTTTGGGACTAGATGGCGTTGTGTGTATGTGGTAGAATATATTATATTATATTATTATTATATTATTTGAAAAAATTGACGAATACATCAGAACCATGCTCGGACTGTTAATACTACCCAAATCATTGCCTTTTAATTCATGGGATTGCTCGTTTCAATTAGTCTGTACGTGACCGAACCATATAAGAAAACGCTAATTCTGGTCCTGCCATATGAAGATAAAGTTGTTTTTTATGATAAGGGGGTAAACGAACAAAAGCGTTACATGATGAATAGTGGCTACCGCCGCGCGCCTACTCAGGACTCAGGAGCCAGAAGCGTGTTGCCGGCCTTTGAGGTGGGAGAACGCTTTTACTTAATAGTTGGAAGGTCGTATTGGTCTGAAAATTTCAATGGCAACAAATTTTTCAACAGATTAATTGTGAAAGGCAATAAGTACCGTTAAAACGATAACTTGTTTCCATCTATACGTACAGGCCTTATAACTTAACAAGTTTGTCAATTTTATTATTTTGTCTTTCTATTATAAGTAATGATTATTCAACCATTCTTTCCTTACATGTTTTGTGGTTGACATTTAAACAACGTAAATTGGTACTGAATAAATAATTAAATGTCCATCAACTACTATGTATTTACTAAAACAGATACGTCCTTTTCTAAAAATCAATTGTATAACTGAGGAGAATATAAAGCTGCTGCTTACTGATGGATTAAAGTTATTAGGCATTTTATTCAAACGACTTATACAAATATGTAATGTTACAAGTATGCTATAATTTGATAATCGAGAAATTATAAATATGTGTGTATATGTTTTTGAGGAATGTAAATATTTAAGTGAGTAAATTGTATTCGATTCTAGTTAAAAATAACATTATAATAAGTATGTATTGTAGGCATATTTCATGTTTTAACGATATCACCCAGTTTAGTGTTAGTAATAAACCGTCTATATATTGTTTTTTACACCATTAACGTAGCAAGCGACCACACATCCAACCTTATTGTAGGGGCAGTTCATCCGTTTTATGATATCTAGTGTGTAATTTCAGGGTTGATGTAGTTACATCACAGTTTAGTAAAAGGTATGGTGATCCAGTGGTTCAATTCCCACTTAGTACATTACCGATGCAATTTTATTGGATCTGGTAACATAAGTATTAAGTTTAATGGAAGAGATGAATACTAAGAATCATTAGTAAGAAGTAGGCAGTAGCAGTATTTATAGTAAAAAAAAATCCAATTGTTCGTATTTTGCACTGGCTGTTTTCATAGTATGGAACTTGTTAAGTTGCTGCCTTTGTGTTGGCAATTTTAACTTTAAATTATTCATAGATTAAAGAGCCCTTCATTTTTCGTATTTTTAACGTATTTTTCCCAAATTGTGAGATCGTATGTAACCTAATAGTCTCGTATCTTTCGATCGTATAATATCTTTGTTTAAGAATTTCTGACAGGTAAAAGGATATTGTCGTCTTTAAATAATTGAGTAAAAGTTTTTCAATATTATTGAATTTTTTGAAAACGTCTCTATTCAAAAAGTAATTATTTATAAAAATGGCATAAAGGAGTTGATATACTGACCTGGTGCGTTTTTGTTGTCGCGCGCCATCGCTGTGTCGGGAAGAACGAGAAGCTCGCGCGCGGTGCCGCGGTAATGTGCGGGTGTTCGGCCGGCAGCGTCGCGGACGGCCCGAGCCGCCCCCGCGCCCTCCAGAAGGCTTGCCGCGCCGGCCTCGTCACGACATAACACCGTGTAGTGCAATGGTGTGCGGCCCTCCTGCAGTAGTGTCATATGAGACTATCTAATCACTATCTATGTGTGTACTGTACACATATGTCCTAAACATTGACCAGCACTAACCTAGAACACCCACGAATGTCCATTGTTTAATCAAGCCTTTTTTCTAGCTTATGTGTTATATCTTTATAGAATTTTACATTGTTAAATACTGTTTCATGTAGTGATTAACGTCAAACTTAAAAGTTGTGTTATTATTAGTTACACTTTACTTTACCATGACTACAACTTTTTTTTTCGTTTGAGGTTTTAAATGCTAGAAACGTGATGTCTCAGCATTTGGAAATCGTTGTCAAGTACAAGAATTATCATAAATTGAAATATGGGACACACACGAATTCCACTTTTACAACCAAATGTTTTAAAAATGGCTGCTTGACTGGTATTGTTTACGCTCCTCACGCTTCTCAGGGTCAACCATTGTCAGTTTTGCGATTACTTGCGCTAAAGCTTTTTATTTAATTTTATAAAAGGCTTAAAGAAGCCAAGGTTGTTAAATCATGAAAATTACTATGTAAAAAAGGTACGAGAAAGATTAACAATTATATCAGAAGTACAAACCATTATGTACGTAATTTCTGTGCGACTTTACTTACCGAATCCTTCTGATGCACTAGCTGAGGGTAATTCTTGACGAGATAGGCAGCGATGTCCATGAAGTCGTAGTAGACGGCTTTGTGAAGGAGCCCGACACTCGCCTCGTCCCGACACATCACATATTTACGGCGATTGTAGTCGCTCTCTAATAACTCCTAAACAATTAAATATGTAATGGCATGGAGATACGCTCTGAGGCAGTTTTTCAAAGGTATTGTGAATTTAACCTTAAAATGCATTCATATAAGTATGGTCATTAGCTTTGCTGCATTTATTGATGTGATATAAGGTAATATTACTATACCCAATTAGTTTACATTAAGTAGTAGTAAGGTCCTAATATATGGAATAAAATACTTATTCTTGAATGATTGAATTATAAAAAAAATTGTTGTACCGTTTGGAACTACGTAAACTACTAAAGAAATACGAGTTATTTATTATGGGTAGTGAGAATATTATGCGAAAATCCGCATTTGTTTTGTACATTGTGTGCTCTTTATTTCTGAGGTATACAAAATAAAGTATTTTCCACAAGTTGTTCAATGTATCATGAACATAAGGACTTCAATTTTAATGTATAATGCTTGCTACGACATTACTACGTTACTAAGGACGTACTACGACGTAGATAGGCTACGAAATTATTCTACAAGTCTCTTTCAATGACTTATCAACTATATAAGCTGAGTCATGGCCTTCACTGATGAATATTAGAAAATTTATGTAAGGCTATTATGTACTACATTTTTCAGTGGAGCCATTTATTAGCTTTTTAGATAATAAACAAATCCTTTCTTTATATAAAATCATTGATGATTCGATTTTGTACGGAGGATGTTAAAAAGCTGAAATCGAATTTCATTAAAAAGTAGTTGGTTAAAATAGAAAATGAGTTGATAATAATATAACGCATTATTGTACACCAGGTATATAAAATAAAAACCTTAAACTACGTAGGACAACACAAGTGACGGCCATATCGCTCTTTTCTTGAATGAATATCCAAAAGCGGCATTGCTAGGCTCGTATCAAATATGGTTAGGTAGAGGGGGTTACACAGCAGATAGTGGAGGTGAGCGCTGACGCGTCGCAAGGAGTACTCCCTAAACCTATACCTGGGTCGCAAGTTCCAGGCGCTGTCGAAGTCGCATCTGTAGCCCCATCTTGGAACGCTAAGAAATAGCCATATATTATATCGAATAATAATAATTATGGGACATTGATGTCTCCCAGGTAATGTTCTTTTACTTGTTTCTTAAAAGAAGCAAGTGTTTGTGCAAGTCTGATTGCGACCTACCGGTCGCCTACTGGGCGTTCCACAACCGAACCGCTTGGACAGAGAAGGACTGGTCGAGGGATTAAGTGGAGTGTCCAGGCATTTTGTGATGTGAATGATATGAAAAACAAACCAGGAAGTTTTTTTGAAGCCGATGCACACTTTTACTACCATATTCAATTAACATGTGTGGCGATTTCCATTTATAATGAAAACAAACAAAAACATACTTCAGTACCATTTAACAAAGATACACCGAACTACAGAGTAACTACTATCTAATCATGTATCGCGTAATACAAGTCCTCGCCCCGATAAGTATGTATACAACTTCCCAACATCAACCGTGAGGCCGTGGTTCGCTGGCCATAATCACCTCAGTTGTGTCGTCACAGTCAGTCAGTCAGTCAGTAGTCAGTCAGTCACGCGGTTATGCCTCAACGGAGGATCCTCCGATGAGGCACACCCTCCACATGTTATGAAGAATGTGAACCTATGGGTGTGAAATACCCAGAGTTTCATTCATTTCAGCGCTATCTTTTGCGATAGATCGGTCCAATGGTAATTTTCAAATTAAATTTGTCAGTTTTAAAGTAAGAAATCAAGGCAAGGCATTTTTTTAAATTGTAAGCTTTTTAAGTTATTGACGGGGTTCATTTTACAATTATAAATGTCTAAAGCTTTCTGTAACATCCTATGTACATTAAAGCACAATACACACTAAATTACTTACTTTGGTAAGAATTTTATTACCAGTAATACCTGGAGATCAAGCAGCGATCCTCTTTCAACAGCTGCATGGAGAGCATCGCACTTGGCGACCAGATGTGTCAGGTGGCTAGATATGTGCATAGCTTCGGCCTCGGCCAGCAGCCGTCGGCCTTGCCCTGCGAGGACTGCTCGCTCCAGTCTGCTGTCCACGCCGCCGCGTGCCCACTGTCGCAATTGAGCTGCTGATACTACACCTACCACTGAACAGTGTAATTATTAAGTTAAATTAATAAACTACAAATACATGTCATTACATCATTGCAATGGATGCTGTTTAGTACTTTCGTAGGTTTTGCAATAATCAAGAACAAAAAAACTTTCAGTAAGTTTAACGGTATACCAAAAACAGAAATGTCATTGTTTTTACAAAAGTTGAACGGTTGTTTCAATTTTAAATTATTTATTACTGCCGATAGTCTTAAATCTTAAATAATACTGCCGATAGTCTTAGTTTTAATTTAATTTTCGCAAAAAGTCGAGGCATTCTTCAAATACTGTAATGAATACAATCACAACCTAACATTGTTTTAATGCTATGAATCCCTTACATTTGTTTGTGCATATATACATGTAACTGTGTATCACATTAAATAACTAAAAACTTATCTTATTCGCGTTATAATATTATAGTTTTTGATTTAGCAAAACTGGAACTGTTTGGGAAATATAAAAGAATAAATATTACTAAGAAATGTTAACAATTAGGAGATTTTATCAGTAATTATATTTGTGTTTTTAACTACACAGACACATAATTTTATTGTATTACTTGAAAAATAATCCCATTTTTAAACACACAACTGAATAACATTGTAAACGTATTAAGACTAAAACTCTTGACAAGTTTTTTTTATTTATTCCGTACCTTTATAAAATTAAAATTCAAGAGACTTGGTAATTAATGAAACGTGTTTGTTTAATCACTGAACCGTGATCTGAGATTACGAGAATTATAAAAACGGTGTGACGGTATAATTTTTAATATACTGAGTTCATTACACAGTAGTTATTAAAATGGAAAGTTACAATCAATATAATTCTAAATGTGGCGTATTTAACTTTTGAAGGGTTACATAGTACGAATATAAGGGGAGAATATAATACGGTTATCTGACGCCGGCCTCCTAAATATTTGTTATAGAGGTAGATAAAAACAATATCATTCAACAATCTTTTAGAAAGTGTGGTTTGTATATATATCTTTTTAGGGTTTCTTTGGAAACCAAAATACAGCACGAACTAATTCTCCTAAATGGAAGACATAAAATAAACTAATTATTCATTATTTTAGAAAATGCTTTTATTAAGTGTCTGTCTACTGTCTTTCTTTATCAAGGCTATCGTACGTTTTATCTTTTACGCGCTTTTTATTCCCTTTTTTTATTTTTTATACATAAATAGAAAGTTTGATTGAACGAAAATCTGCCAACGTCTGTTGGCGGTTAAAGCTCACGAACTGAAGTGTTGGCGCAACACTACACGTTTTGCGATGTTGTGACTTCAGTTTTACTGATTACCTCTATATAGTGTGTTCTTTAAATTCTTCTTTAAATTTTCTTTATTCTTTGGTTAGTTAAAAAAACTTTGAATATATTATAGATTGGATAACAAGGTAACAATTTGGTAGGTTTGTAAACGCAGGTGCTAATTTTTTTTTAAACTTTATTTTATAAATATGTAATTACATTCTTTGTCGACCAAAATCGGGTTGATGGTCTGACTGGGGATCGAGTCTCCATACACTTTGTCTTATTTAAATAACATGTACGACATGAGAAGTTGAAAACTAGATATAATAATAGACCTTATTTTTTAAAACTATCATATCAGAATATAAATAATATATTTATGAAACAAATCATTGCAAAGCTTCTGTGACTGTAAGACGTGTGTGAATTAATTTTATTCATCGATATATATATTCTTACTTTTGGATAATCAAAATATGTAAGGGAAAGTAGTTTTTTTTTTTTTTTTTTTTTTTTTTTTACTAGTTGTAAGGATAATAGTAGTTTGTCTCCAGAACAAAAGATAAACCAAAAAGTTGACAGTTCGTTCTTGAGTCAATAAGGCACAAATACAGTTCCTTTTTAATTAATTTCAATATTAATGCTGGAAATAGTGATAGTGTTTACATCAATATACCAAGTAATTGAAATGATATCAACGTTGTATGAGCGATATCAAAATAAAGAAAAAGGGTATATACGGACAGTTCTATTTTCTATTATAATTAGAATTGATGTGAAAGTGAATTAGAATAATTAAAATTCTATGAAGTATGTCTATAAATTCACGTGTTGACAATTAATTTTTTAAGAAGGTCAAACTAATACCGGTTTTGATGCGTCAGTGTTTTATAAATAAATTGGAAATGTAATTAATGCGTATGTAACCATATTACATTGTGTCTACAGTAATTAACTTTATATGTATAAATATTATGTTTATATTAGAGTCTCAAGCATCAGACCCTGAGTACCGCATAGGTGTAGATGTCATTGATATCTCACGGTTTTATCAACTCACCCGGGACACTGTTATCTCTCTCTATTATTTATCCACGTTCCAAAGTCCAGATGAATTCTCAAGTGGAGTAAAAATCTCGACGAAAAATAGGAGAGCACTAAGGAAACAAAATGCATAAGCGTTTTCCTTCCTTCTTACTATATCTGTGGGCGGTTAAAATTGCTGTTGACGAGTAATAAATAAACATTTGATGATTAATTGATTATACATAGTAAGAAAAGTAATAACTATTGTAATTTCGCATTCTGGACACCCTAACAGATTCATTTCAACCTTAAAGTTTTGTATGGTATCAAAATATAGGTTTATGTATGTATGTAACTAGGTAAGTATTTATGTATGTGTATGTATTTGGTATGTATGTATATTTATCGCATTGTTTATGTCTAACTTATCAATAATTTTCTTTTACTTCACATATCAATGTCTAGTGCACCTAGACACATATTTCATCACCATTCTAAGGTATACTGGGAGAAAGTGCCAAGTGGCATTAAGTCCGCCATTGTACAACTCATACTTGTGCATAAGGTATTAAAATAAAAATAAATTTCCTTCTTTGTTATAATTCATAGTTTAAGTTCAGTTAGTAATGAATCACAAACAAAACAAAAAACATCCTGTTTGTGGGGCTATTTCTGTTGTTAGATTACAAGATTTATGCGCTAACAGCCGGGTGTAAGACCTTATCGCGACATCTGCTGACCTTACACTCTTAGGGTGTAAATACAATATCGGTCTAGAAACAATGTCAGCCATGTTGTAAACAGATTATTTGTTAATTCAACGGTACAATAGTAATCTGTTCGGGATTATAATGCCTATGTTATCTCCCATAACAGATGTAATTAATAAGGTTGCAACGTTTCTTTGTGAGTCGGTTCAAATCCTAAATTACTACTTATCTTTACACAGGAGAACATTGTATAAACACAACTGTCATCGATGAGAGTGAGAAATTATTGCGAGAGCCATGGCCGATAAGATATAAAAAAAATGAGGAAAGAACGGAATATATAACCTATAGAAATCTTATCGGCCATGGCTTAGAAATGCTTTTAATTATTTTATTCTATTCTATATTCAGCATAAATCTATGTACAGTAAGATGATATGATCTAAATACTAGGAATAGGTTTTCCTTATTTTTTGAAAAAATCTCCTGAATGATCATTCTTTCGTTTCGTGTTCGTTCTTTTTTCTAAGCCCGTGGCGGTGTCTCTCGCTTATTGCCGAAGTCATGTTCTTCGATTAAAACTTCAGCAATGTTACTCATCACTTAGTGTTATCTTGTACCTGATAATCGTAATGAAAACTGACAGTTTCTTCAATACATTTCAATGAAAACGTAAAGTTTATTACATTCTGCTTTTAAGCATTTTTAATCATGAAATTAACTCATCAGGTTGCTGAAAGAACTTTATAATCGAAGTTATCTTGCTTTTAAAATGATTACTACATTAAAATTTTGTTCGCTGTCTGTTTAAACATAGATTTTAGATAATACAGTGGTAAGCATTCATATGCGGATAATTTTACACTAGCCATCAGGGTGCCTAAAGATGTTAATTTATGACATGTTACTGCAGCAAAAGCATAAAAAATGTATCAAATATAAGATATTTTTTTTAAATCAATAGTATTCGATAGTTATATCTAACCTCTATATTGAAGTTAAATAAAGGTGGGCAGATAGCTAGGTACACAGCGGGCAGTTACGGTGTGTACTAACATATTTAGTAGCTCGTTATAGGTGAACACCCGCGGGTAACGAACTCCTTCAATATACATATCTAAACGATCGGATCGATTTTTTACATATGGGTAATATAAAATAAATAAATAATTAGTGCTATATATCTTTTTATCTTCTATTGCTTATTCTTTAACACATATTTTTACTTGATGTCGTGGCTGTTAATTGTCTGACGTTTCGACCAGATTATATTGGCCGTGGTCAGATGTCGAATCTCTAACGAAAAAGTATCTTTATCCATTCGCATACCTTCAAGGTATTTTTAGTTCACTGACTAATAGAAATTTTTAACTATCTGACATTTCTCAAAAAACTGTTATGAACGCGATAAAGTTCTATAATGTTTATTTTAGAGATTTGTTAAAGACTAGTACATTTATCATCAAACAGCATCTCTCCTTATGTTAAATCACAAGAAGCAGTACCACTTGAAATTTGTAGAAGATCGTGACTCTTAGTCGCGTTTGAAAAACACATTAAAAAAAACTTTTAATGTTAAAAATTTCTTTTATAACTTTTAGTAAACCTTAATGTGTGATTATTACGAAAGAAAGATCAAATATATATGTATTTATGTATATATATATATATACATAAATTTAAACTTATTTCAGACTAGTATGTCTAAGACTTACCGATCGTCATTGCTAAGCCATAGGTCTTCTGAATATATTTCGAAATATATAACAATGTTTTAAATGTATGAATAGTGACCATAGTACAGGCACAGCCTGGTTTGGAATGAGACGACCATGTCTAAAATGTATCAAGATACTATTATATTAATATAATTTATAGGTGTTTTACCGTCATTATAAGTTTCAAATACTGTAGTTTACAATACGCCTTCTAAGTATATATAATTGGGTCCAAAGTCATGAAATTTTTAAGTCTAAATGATCTGATTAAATAAATAATTATAAGTAAATAACCACTGAAAATTGCTTACCAATCTAACACTCTGAACATGAACTTTTTTTATAAATATTATATTGTTTTCTACGTAATTATGATTCAGAGGTAGTTGAAGTGTTTACTTCAGGATATTGCATTCAAAATAATTATCTTAATTAGCTTCTATAGAGATAACGTGTTATACGTCACCAACGTCATGCTCACAAGTGCGTTCTACGTTTAAAATTATAAATTAATTTCAGAATATAAATAGCTTTAAGTATGTGTTAACATGGCATTTCGTTATTGCAATATATGACATTTGCAAAACGGTCTCTCAACATCACGCTAAGGTCACTCCACACCCACGTCGTAACTCCGATTTAATTATTTTTATTTTATTTATATTCCATTTTTTATTGTGACTTGTTCGAGATAGGGTGAAATGCACGGTATTGTTGTGTGAGGTCCAGTCATGTTTTATTGAGGTCATTGTCGGGCTTGGTCGTATTTTATAGAACTTGGGCGCGTAGGTAACCTATTTTTACGACATTATGGTATGGTAAATTAAAAGTAGTTATGTGTCGTAATGTATATTGATATTTTTACAGCATATTTTGATTCCATTTTTGTTTTTACAGGGTTTGGCTGCCTCAACCTTATCATTCGTTTATTCTTAACTCACTCACAACAATTTATTCTGTAAAATCGAAGAGTTTTATGGTCACCTTCTGTCTGCTTTATCTGATTTTATACTACGACTCTGTGTATAACAGATTACTTGTTTAGGTGATAGTATTTTATAATTGGATTATGATTTAAAAATATAGTCAAAAAAACAAATAATAGTATCCGTTACGAAGCGTGGCTATCAGTTTGCTTCACACATAATACAAACCGTGTTTTTAAACAATGTCGGAAAGAAAAATTACAGAAAAAAGCTTTTAGCGTTATACGTGGCAATTGTATACGTTGGAAATTGTTTGATGGGCTTGTTGGCGCCCGTAAAAGGGATTTTTCCTGGGTTTCTTTTCATAATCCTAAAACCTACAAAATACACTAGAAGCTGAATATAAAGTTATTGAATTGTCTTTATTTAATCTTGGACAGTTGTTAAGAAGCTAACCTTTTTAATTGTAAAATATTTCAATTAGACTTTACAGACATTCAAAATATTTTGTCCAAAAACAGTATATGGCTAAACACAATCACAATATATAAACGATGTCGATGTGATGATGTGATGATCAAACACATCATCACATCAGCAGTCTTTAATAGTACACCGATGAACATAGACCTCTCCTTAGAAAGGAGGTTTTTACCTAATATATCACGGTGGCTAGATAGGTTGGTATACGGTTTCTGACAAGTTTTCATTCTTTTTACAGTGTTGTTGTCCTGCGTAGATTGCTCCCTTAGTCGGCTCTTACAACACCCACGGGATGATTAGGGGTGGTGAAATTCCGTATTCTTAATCTATCACCACACGGACACAAGATTGATACAAGATTGACATGTTTTGAGATCTAAGTTGCAGTTAGAAGGTTCGGAATTACCGGCAACAGCCAATCCCAGTTACTGAAGTCCAATTCTCGTAATAAGAGCTCAGTAAAAATGCAGTTCCGGTCAACTCTCGATCTCACAACTGTTATAAAATGTTTTTTTTAGTAAAGTATTAAATATATCCAACTTTGGTTGTAATGTGATTAGATCCTAATTTGTGACTAAAAATTTAATCGGTAATCTGCTAGTCTTAGTAATACTTTACTTTTATCACGAGAACTGGCCTTCAGGTATACACATGTGAATGGCCGTACAAGCAAGCTTTTATTATTATACTCCCGTAATTATATTACAAATGTTAAAGCTTGTGAATGTAAAAGCTTAGAATATTGACGGCAAACTAGCTTCAAGCAATCACAGCAACAATATCTGATAACTCTTGTTATTTTTGCTGGACAAATAGAGCCAAAGACTTGAAAATATTTTAAAATCGTCGGAATGTACAATCTGGACTTTGACGTGAAGCTATTTGCCTGTAACATGCGAACTCCTGTGTTTTTGCCAGACAGGTTTCAGTCTAACGGCTTACGTAGTATTTTCGTCCAGCCTATTTAGACGACCTCATTTTTCTGAATGTACTTATCGATTTCCGATACTAAGCAGAGCTTTAAACGGTCGTTTAGTAGCCAACGTAAAATAACCGTTACACTTTATCTTAAACATTGCTGTACGGTTTGGAATTTGTAACTAACGTAAATGATAATTGTAAGATCGATTGTTCGTTTTGCCACTAAATTACTTCAGTAACTTTATTTAAAGTAAAAGTAATGTACTCACCTTTAGGCGGGCTATAGTGTACATAAATGCCGTTCTTCTTTGCAGTTCGCTCCGTCAACCATTTCTTCACGCTTTCCATAGTTCTCTATGGTAACTATCACTTCATTCTGGTTACCTCATTGTACATCTAAGAAGTCAAACAGAGGTTATCTTAATTTTTTTGTAAAGTATAAACTTTGGATTGTAATTAACATCTAATTTAAAAATGATTAACCAAGATCCGTGTATAAGCGATTAGTAGTTAGTGAAGGGTATAAATATCCTAAAAGTCTTAATGTTAAATAACTGTTCATATAAGGCTGCCCTCACTTGACTTTCTGATTTATAAATCTTTCTTTATGTGTACATAAACTAAAACTGTGGAAGTGTTATATAGGTGTCTAGGTCGGTCTCCATACAACTGAACTATTTCAGACTTGAGCTGAGCATTTACAAGATGCTCTAGAGTAGATAAGTCAACTTAACCACATCTTAGAGAGCTTAACGACTTCAAACGGATATTGGGTAGCCCAATGTAAATACTGAAATCTGCCTTATTTAGCATAGCTTATTTTCTTAAGCTATGTATATTACTTTTCTAAGTAAAACTTTCATTCCCATAAAATATTTACCATGAAAATAAAGCAACAGAAAATAATAAATAACATGTCACAAATTTTACCAGACGAAAAAATAACTAACTCACTCTTAGTTACTGTCTAAATAAAACTAAATATTCTTTCGTTCATAATCAAGTTTGTCAAAAATACATTAGGGGCATAATGATATTTATTTTTCTCTCAGTGAATCTCTAGACATAAGTTACAAATTCGTGAAATATCTTGTTAGCTTTCGACAAAACCAAAGCAGTTTGTATGTCAGCAACATTTGCTTACTCCTGGGAGTTTTACTAAATAATAATAGTTTTACTAAGTAAAAAAATACAATAAACATAGATTTATTTACTGGGTATGCTGTTAAACTGCACATATTATAAAAGTTATCTACATGTGGGTCCAATTGCAGTTTTGAGTCTCAAATCTGACCAACTCCTACTCCATCATTTATTACTCGTAGTATACTGTTTTATTTTTATGGTGATTAAGAGGTAGAAATCTTCAAAATTGACCCTGTTAAGTTGTTGTAGACCTATCGGTCTACAACAACTTAACGTTTTTGCCGCACTGACCTCGCCTTCTGTCAATAAGAATCTGGTACAAACAGTCTTAGTCCTGTTTAATTGTTAACATTAAACAATGGTACTGATAGATAAAGCGTTATGTATAGCGGTATTTCGTATTTATATCATCAGTGACTTACTGCCTCTTTAAGTTTAAATGAAAATGTCTCATACAAGTCACGTAAGTCATTTATTTATACCTAAAACCGAAATGAACCGAGAACCAGATTAGACCCTGAAGATAATAATGCTTTGCACTTAATCACAAGGCAGGTAATATCAGCATCGTTTCAACACTGCGATTGATGAGGTTAGCTATAGAGTTAGCTATTTTGTCATCTATGATTTTAATATCAGAGCCCTTTATTTTATCTATTCCTGGGGCTTTCGTTGAATTTTGATCTTTAATAATTTTAGATACTCTGCTAGCTGATGCCTTTTAAAAGAAAATGCTTAAATTTACTGGACTACTGGTGGCCTTAGGGTTTAATAGTTTTATATTACAGCTGGGCAGTATATCTTTTACCGCTCTATCGAAAGCACTCTAACTAAATTATAGGCAATTTCTTTGGTAGAAATTCCCTGCGTCTCAAAAGCCCTAAGTACCGCCTTATCAATCGATAGTGTCACTCTTCCTAACATCTGATTAATAATTGGATCTATCTTTTTATGTTCCTAAAGTTACTATTGATATGTTGTATATAATATTTATTTCTATTAATTACTAAGATTTTGTGAATTTTATTGCATTTTTTTTTTAGATTTTGACTATTTTACCAATCTGAGAAAAGTTTATCTCTTTTATTACAAAGTTAAATAACATTTTTACCTATACGGGACAGACGCTTTTTTTAAATTTTAATAGATAATTTATGCGATATATTGTTACTTGCCCATTTTTTTTAATTGTCAATTTAATTGCAATTAAAGCTTAAATTGTCGTTGGGAGAATCCATATTTTTTGTCTTAGTCCAGTCAATAGTTTTTAATTCATTAGAGAATATCTATTATATATTAGGAACTATATATTAGGAACTAACTATATATTAGGAATGATGTGAGTAATGATTTTCTTAGTAGCACCCCTGTACACATCTAGGAATTTCAACTGATTCATTAATGCAGGTAAATATAACCCCCTGATGGTCAGTCAGTAACGACATGGAGCACCGATGTGAACGGCAGAATGTGGGGAAAAGTGCAAAAGTGTTGTCAATACAAGATTTAGTTTTTATATATTTTTTTGTTTCGATTCGGTTGTATTTTTAATTATCATCCTTCCATCCTTACCATCCTTTCTTTTATTCCATCATTTTTATTATCACATTAATCTGTGTTCAGTAAGTGCTTCCAGATACGAATGCTTGTATGTGAAAATTGAAGGGTATTTTCATTTTCACATACAAGCATTCGTATCTGGAAGCACTTAGTAGTATTTTCACATACAAGCATTCGTATCTGGAAGCACTTTAGCACAATCTATGTTTGTATTACCAATAAAAAGGAGATCTGTTTTGAATCGAACCTAGTGATGTGGTTACCTAACTCCGTGATAAATATGTTTTTATTTGTTGACGGCGGTCTATAGATTGCACAAACAACCACGTCAAGACTTGAATTTACTTTTATATTTCATAGTTTCGTTATTAGTGTTTTGTTATTTCTTATTATAAGTTTCAAAATGAATAGTCGAGGTAGATGTATGGTTGATTTAGTTAAAAAAAGAGAACAACATCAGAGTTGTGAAACCACACCCAACGATAAAAATTACGATCATCCCGGTAAGTGTACATTTTCTTTACAATTTATTTATGTAATATTGAAAATATGTTTTATTTTAATGTCTAGTTCTTCGATCTTTTGAAATAACTAATAATTATGATTTACTCGTGTCCACATGGCGGTTAGCAAGTTAAACTATCGAGTGTGGTAGATTTGATAGTGTTCCAAGTGTACTTATTGTTGACAAATATAGAAAGTGGCATTTTCGATAGTATACGTGTACATTATAAGTAAGACATTTATCGAATGTGATACTTTCGATTGTATACTATGGAAAACATTTATCGAATCTACCAGTTATTATATTATTCTACGCTGAATACTTTTTAAATGAGATTTATTTACATATTCGATTGTTTACAGTTTTTTATTGGGTCTTCTTTTCATCTATTAATTCAAGTAAGATATTAAATTACTTATGTTCTTTTTTGTTTTAGAATCTCCTGTACATTAAAACGACTATATGATGTGTTTCCCACTTCACAAGCCGACGAAGACAAGACTAATGAGAGTCTGGCAAATGACTCCCACAATATTATACTTGACAGTGAAGAAGGTACACCAATGCCTTCACCTCTCTCCTCACAAGACCTTAATTTCGGATCACCACTGACTGAAGATCCTGTAGGGACGCCTACGGGATCTTCAGTCAGTTCAGTAAATGAAGAAAGTACGCCTGCACAGTTGCTCCTTTCCCAACGAGACCCTCTCATTGTAACAACGCCATCTGTAACTGACGACCCAGTAAACATCCCAAGTATAAGTTCACTGATTTCGACATCCGACAATGACTGCTGTATTACTCCTACTTTATCTACTTCACACAAGCGCATACCAACACACAAAACTGATCCTGGTCGTAAACGAAAACGACATGTCAAAGAGTGGGTTGATGTTCGTACAAAAATGTCGAATCATTCTGGGCAACAATATGTTTCAAAAAAAGGTAAAACCGTTCCAGCTAAAATAATTAAACCACCATGTCCTTATACCTGCAAGCTGCAATGCAATAAATATTTTAGTGAAGAAATTCGAAAAAACACTTTTAATGAGTTTTGTCGGTTATCCGATCACACTAAGCAGTGGGAGTATATAAACAAATTTACTAAAAGATTCGATAAAAAAAGAATGACAACTGAAAAACCATGTAGAAGAAAATTTACTACAAAATGTTACTTACCTTTGCCTGCGAATGATTCCACCTACGAGGCTCAGCAAGTGTGTTTGAAGATGTACTGTGGCACTCTTGCTATTACTGATCAAACAATCCGAACAGCACACAGCAAATTAGATGCTTGTGGAATTACTAGCAGTGACAATAGAGGGAAACCTGTAAATCACCCATAAAAGGTGGACGACGAGATGATACGAAGTGTTACTGACCACGTAAAGTCTTTTCAACCCGTTGAATCTCATTACACCAGAAAAAATACCAGTAAATTGTATTTAGACAACTCTTTGAGTTTCAATAAGATGTTTGCAATGTACAAAGATTGGTCTGAATTTTCTAAATATAATAACAAAGCAGAGACTGAAAGACAATACCGAAATATTGTAAACGAGCACATAAACATTGCATTTTTTATTCCGAAAAAAGATTTGTGCGACAAGTGCCACGCGTTTAGCAACGAAATTCCATCCCACTGAAGAACACGTACAGGCTCATAACAAACACATTTCAAATAAGGAAACTGCAAGAATATATAAAGCAAGAGATAAAGAAGAATCCATTCAAAGTGCATCAAAAATAGTTTGCGCTACATTCGATTTCCAGAAATTACTGAACTACCCTTCTGGCGAAGTGTCTCTTTTTTATTATAAAATAAAGTTATCACTGATGCATTTGACAGTTTTCGACGCTGGGCTTAAAGAGGTTTCTTGCTATTTATGGCCACAAAATGTTGGTAAACGAGGAGCAAACGAGGTAAGGTAGTTGCTGGTTAGATTTCATTGAACGTAAGGTATCTAGAGGTGCACTAGATATGAGGTTTTGGTCGGACAACTGTAATGGACAAAATCGTAATAGAGTGTTATACAGTCTTTACATGTACGCAAGTAACAAATTTAATATTGATATAACCCATAGATTTCTGGAGTCTGGTCATACACAACAAGAAGCAGACGCCACTGTATTCAGA